GTTATGGTAGTTAAGCAGGTTTATGATCTGGTTAACAATAGTAATTATTTTTTTATGCATGCAAGAATCCAGACATAATACGTTACAGTGTGATTTGTGTGTATGTGTGTGTGTGTGTGTGTGTGTGTGTGTGTGTGTGTGTGTGTGTGTGTGTGTGTGTGTGTGTGTGTGTGTATGTCTGTCTGTGTGTGTGTGTATGTCTGTCTGTCTGTGTGTATGTGTGTGTATATGTATATGTGTATGTGTGTGTGTGTGTGTGTGTGTGTGTGTGTGTGTGTGTGTGTGTGTGTGTGTGTGTGTGTATGTGTGTGTGTGTGTGTGTGTGTGTGTGTGTGTGTGTGTGTGTGTGTGTGTATGTCTGTCTGTCTGTGTGTATGTGTGTGTGTATATGTATATGTGTGTGTGTGGTGTGTGTGTGTGTGTGTGTGTGTGTGTGTGGTGTGTGTGTGTGTGTGTGTTCATGACCCTATGTTTGATAGAAATAATCGAAGTCCCAGAACCGTAACATTTTCTAAATAAATATGTCCTACTAAAGACTCATTAGAATTAAGCAGTATATTACTAGTCTATAAAATAGGTACTTGGGTGTCAGTCGACTGTTATGGGTCGCATTCTGGGGAAGAGGCCCGAAACACGCCAACGGAAATGTGTCACACGATTTTCTTGGGATATTAACCCTCTGTGTTTTTCATACGAAATTAAAATTTTTTTGTATTAACTTGATATGCGATGCAATGTGTCTCGTAGAAGAAATAATGAATTATTATTATTATTATTATAATCAAGGGGATTAGATTTTAGATTTTGCCACCTAAGTGGCTAGTTTATTGTGCACCCCATATCCATCCTGTGGACGGTAGCGCGAGAGCATACGGATACACAAAAGGCCTAGGAACTAGGCCCCAAAGGGTTAACAGGAATACATATGGATTTATATCTACATATCTATAGTTCACTTATCTGTTACAAGCAAATTTAGGAAATTTGCTTAGTATATCTGGTATCTTATTTTCATTAATAAGATATCTTGACATGTCACATAGGTTATTATACTGTCTGTCTCTGTATTCCTCAATAAGTGGACAATTAAGCACATAGTGTTCAAGAGAGTGACCATATGCCTGATCACATAATTTACATTTAGTTTGATCATCATCTGTGTGTCTCCCAAACTGCCAGAAGTACTTGTAACCAAGCCTAAGCCTGGCCACTACAACATCAGTCAGTACTTGTAACCAAGCCTAAGCCTGGCCACTACAACATCAGTCAGTCTGTTCACATTGCAAGTTGCTCCATAAACATACTTATCTACGTTCATGTTATCATAGTGGGTTATAGATCTACTCAGGCTTCTAACTGCATTCCTATAACAATCATTTTCATTATTTACTTCTCTCCTAATATTATTCCTAATGCTAGACACAGTTATACCAAAGTTATATTCTACATTCTCCTTCTCGATACTCTTCTTGGCTAACATATCAACTTTATCATGAAGGAGTAATCCAATGTGTGGTGGGATTATACAGCGCCTGGGGGGGGGGATGTTGTGGAAGGCTTAATTCCATAGTCTGAAACAATATTGTTCCAGACTATGGAACAATACTCTTCTCCAGACTGAGGGACTGACCACCTCAAAACTTCAAGGGTGATGGACTGATTACATCGTCTTCAAGTCTCTTCTGCTTCTATCAACTTTTCTGTACTCGACTGAAGAAGCCTACTGTGTAGGCGAAACGTTTCGAAATAAAGATACCTAACTGTTGCATATGTGTCTTACCTAACAACCTGTCGGTATTTTATACCATTTTAATGTTCACCAAGGAACCTTCCTTGAGGGGAAGAAACAATGAAGATCCCTTTCAGCTGTCACGGGATTTCTACCTATCACAGGAACACAGATTGTGGGCGACGGAAAAAATACACTTATGTCGTCATAGAAATTTCAGTTTCAGTAGGATACGCTGGGTAAACCAAACAGGAAACGAGGTAGATGGATTTGTTTAAGTTGTGATATACTCTGTGATGTTTGTTGAGGGAACACATAGTGAGTGCTGAGACCATGGCCTGCTTAGTGAGCCTCGAGAAACACTTTGATAAATTAGACACATGTGCAACTCTTGGGTATCGTTATTGAGGAAACGTTTCGCCACACAGTGGCTTCATCAGTCCATACGAAGGATAAACTTGAAGAACAGGAGGAGAATGAGGTAATCAGTCCATCAATCTTGAATAGATTGATGGACTGATTACCTCATTCTCCTCCTGTTCTTCAAGTTTATCCTTCGTATGGACTGATGAAGCCACTGTGTGGCGAAACGTTTCCTCAATAAAGATACCCAAGAGTTGAATATCAAAATGGTATACAATACCGACAGAATGGTTGTTAATACACAAAGGCAACACTTAAGCAACTTTATTCCGAAACGTTTCACCTACACAGTAGGCTTCTTCTTCAGGAGCAGTAGAGATGTGTAGGCGAAACGTTTCGGAATGAAGTTGCTTAAGTATTGCCTATGTGTCTTAACAACCATACCCAAGAGTTGCACATGTGTCTAATTTAACAACGTGTCGGTTCTCTGAACCATTCATCTACAATACAGAAACACTTTAAGCTGAGAGCAGAACTTGAGGATGTAAGGAGTTGAAGCTTACCAGGAACATAAGAACATAAGAACATAAGAAAGGAGGAACACTGCAGCAGGCCTGTTGGCCCATACTAGGAAGGAAAATAAGAAGCTGCAGCAACATTCAGAAGAGATGAAGAAAGATAATACTAATGAATGGACACTGGTGGGCAAAAAAGGGATTAGGATTGATATAAAGAGTAGTAAAGGAGGAGACGTAGAGAGTGTCAACTTCTCATTACTGTACGAGGAAAACACAGAGGAAGGGTCAACTAAACAAAATCAAGGTTGGTCAGTGAATAGATTTAAAATAGAATATATTAGTTGTTCGTGACTCACAGCTTGTATATATACTGACTAGAAGCTGAATCTGTGTAGAAAAAGAGGATGACTAAGACAGACATAACCATTACATTAGATAGGTGGCCCGGTGGTCTGGTGGCTAAAGCTCCCGCTTCACACACGGAGGGCCCGGGTTCGATTCCCGGCGGGTGGAAACATTTCGACACGTTTCCTTACACCTGTTGTCCTGTTCACCTAGCAGCAAATAGGTACCTGGGTGTTAGTTGACTGGTGTGGGTCGCATCCTGGGGGACAAGATTAAGGACCCCAATGGAAATAAGTTAGACAGTCCTCGATGACGCACTGACTTTCTTGGGTTATCCTGGGTGGCTAACCCTCCGGGGTTAAAAATCCGAACGAAATCTTATCTTATCTTAATCACACAAGATAGGGGACACGGGTGAACACGAGACAGGATGAATAAGACGTGTAACAACTGGGTATGTACATGAATGGGGTATCTCAGCAATAAAGACTGAGGGACTGATTACATAAGAAAGAAGGAGCACTGCAACAGGCCTACTGGCCCATTCTAGGCAGTGGACAAAGACATGTACAGTTCAGGACGGAAATAAATGGTATAAAATACCGACACAATGGAAATATAAACACATATGCAGTATAATGTGATCCTTTATTGACAACGTTTCGCCCACACAGTGGGCTTTTTTCAAGTCATATGTGTTTATATTTCCACAGTTCAGGACATTTATTAAAGGAAACGTTTCGCCACGAGTGACTTCTTCAGTCCTAATACAGAGAAAACTAAGAAAACGAGTATACATAGTGGCAGGAGTCAGGTGGAGTGTCGCGTGAGTAGAGGTGGTAGTAGTAGTAGTGGAACTGATGTGGTGAGACGGGTTGGGTTAGAGAAGAACCTGTTGATATGTTACAGCAGTCTCCAGAATGGGTAATATCCTGTTGTTCAGCAATTTAGAGATACTGTAACTATCGGACTTTTGATGGATAGTGTTACTGACAACAATTAGGGCACCTTCTATGCACTTTCACCGTCTTAATCACTAGTTTAGCCTCAACGAATTTCATGAGGTGTCCAACATCGTCTCTATGTTGAACACAAGCGTTTTTCCGGTCATCTTTTCTGTAAGCATTTTTGTGTTCTGTGATCCTAATGTCCAGAGATCTGGCTGTTTCCCCCACATATACTTTGTCACACACCCCACATGGTATACTGTATATTCCTGCACTTGTGCCAGAATCGTGCTTGGATTTTTGCACCAGATCCCTAATAGTAGTTGATGAGCTGGTAGATATTTTAGCTAGTTTTCTGTCAAACATTTTTAAAACCTTAGTAGCAGCGTTGCTGACCGGTAAAACGATGTAACTTGGAGACTTTTCAACTTCATTGGTATTCTCTAGTTGAGAATACGTGTCGCACGTTTCCTGCAGTCAAGTATGTAGTGTAGGGGAAAGTGTGGTGCACTAAAAGAATGGGTGACGTATGTACATTCTTCTTCGAGGAACTGCAAACTGGAAATTCTGTATACTCTCCGAAAGAAGCCTATAACTACCCCTCTTTTAGTTCTGGTGTCGTGGTGAGAGAAGAAATGTAGATCGTTCTTGTAGGTAGGTTTACAGTAGACTTGCATGGGCCAGTAGGCCTTCTGCAGTGTTCCTACATTCTTATGCTCTAAAGTCTGTTTTCACCAGTGAGTAGGAGAACGTCGAGAGAAGGTAACTGGTTGTCCTCCTTCTCTAGTGTAAATTTAATAGTATGTTCCAGAGTGTTGATGTGAACATTAAACTGTTGCATATGTGTCTTACCTAACAACAGAGTGTTGATGTGTTGATATCATCAACGTACCGCCTAATTCCACGCCTTTCTAGAGAGTGCAGATTCAGGGCTCTCAAGTCTCCTACCGACTAAAGCCGACTAAAGACTTGGACCTGCCTCGCATGGGCCAGTAGGCCTGCTGCAGTGTTCCTTCTTTCTTATGTTCTTATGTATTGATAAAGCCACTGGATGGCGAAAAGGTGACAAGTAAAGGACACCCAGATGTTGTACAAATGTCTTATTAAGAACATAAGAAAGGAGGAACACTGCAGCAGGCCTGTTGGCCCATATTACAGGTTTTGGTATACACATTATAGGTTTTACACGTGTGTGTCGAGGTGGTAGTACAGGGAAGCGTCAACCATGGAGTTACTTTCTTTATCGCTTGTCATCTTGGGACTTCCAGTGAGTTACTCGATTACAGTGACAACACCAAGCACATAACACCTGTCCTAGACTTTACTTACATGCTTTTCTATACCAACTTATCGGTATTTATTACCAAGTTTATACCACATAACATTCCTCAGGTCACGTGCGTCACATCTCACTCTCCGCCTATATATATAATGTCTTTCTACCTCTGTATGTTAGAAGTGATCAAGGTTCCAGGACCGAAACGTTTTCTAATAAATATGTTATAGTGTTTGCTTACGTGTCTTTCTAAACCAACTTGTCGGTATTTATTACCAAGGTTTATACCATACCACATAATACACCTATATATGAGAGTAAGACACAAGTGCAACATCTGGGTATCTTTATTGTAGACGTTTCGCCATCCAGTGGCTTTATCAATACAAATTCTAGGACATAACTTGAAGACAGTTGAACTATGTACAGAAGATGAGGTAATCAGTCCCTCAACCTAGGAGTAGGTGCGAACAGCACCATAGTCGTGGAGATTCTGAAGCAGAAGAAAGAATCCTGGCGCTTATATAGTAACGTCAGGTGTAGCAGACGAGGGCATATTCACTGGTAGGCGGGATTCCCCAGTGGAAGTAGGTCCTTCCCAAAGAGATGGGTTAGTTGTAGAAGTAGTTGTCGTAGTCGTGAAGGTTATGTACATTTCGTACACAACTTGTCAGACACTGCAACATCATGGAATCTTAATTCTGAGGACATGTACATAACCTTCACGACTACGACAACTACTACTACAACTAACCCATCTCTTTGGGAAGGACCTACTTCCACTGGGGAATCCCGCCTACCAGTGAATATGCCCTCGTCTGCTACACCTGACGTTACTATATAAGCGCCAGGATTCTTTCTTCTGCTTCAGAATCTCCACGACTATGGTGCTGTTCGCACCTACTCCTAGGTTGAGGGACTGATTACCTCATCTTCTGTACATAGTTCAACTGTCTTCAAGTTATGTCCTAGAATTTGTATTGATAAAGCCACTGGATGGCGAAACGTCTACAATAAAGATACCCAGATGTTGCACTTGTGTCTTACTCTCATCTTGTCGGTATTATATACCATTTCGTACACACACACCTATATATCCTAACCTAACTTTAGGATGGAAACCATACCCCGGCTGGGATTGAACCCGCGGTCAGAGAGTCTCAAAACTCCAGCCGGGGTATGGTTTGTTTGCAATCGTGTCTTCAGAATGGAAATGTTTCACCCACCAGAAGTTTTAACAACCCATTTCACTATATGATCTTATGATATTTAGCGTTTCATCCGAAACGCTAATATAGATATTATAACAAGATATTTCTGACAGCCGTGGTTCTGGTGTTTTTTATTGTGTGACCCCTACGGTTTTAAGAACATAAGAGAGAAGGAACACTGCAGCAGGCTTATTGGCCCATGCGAGGCAGGTCCAAGTCTCCTACCGGCTTAAGCCAATGCTCCAACCTAGTCAGATCAGGTCACATTCACTTAAGGAAGGAACACGGCAACTGATGGATGATGGACTGATGGACTGACCACATCGACTCAAGGTTGAGGGACTGATTACCTCATTCTCCTCCTGTTTTTCAAGATTCTCCTTTGTATGGACTGATGAAGCCACTGTGTGGCGAAACGTTTCTTCAATAAAGATACCCAAGAGTTGCACATGTGTCTAATTTATCAATAGGTAGAGGTTGTTAGGTAAGACACATATGCAACAGTTAGGTATCTTTATTTCGAAACGTTTCGCCTACACAGTAGGCTTCTTCAGTCGAGTACAGAAAAGTTGATAGAAGCAGAAGATACTTGAAGACGATGTAATCAGTCCATCACCCTTAAAGTTTTGAGGTGGTCAGTCCCTCAGTCTGGAGAAGAGCATTGTTCCATGGTATGAAACAATATAGAGATGAAGTGACAGGATGGAGCCTTATATAGCGCCAGGATGTGAGACGTAGGTCACTAGGAGAGGTAAGAACTCAGATGTTGGGAGGTCAGGTCCCTCTCAAATCCAGCCGTTCTCACTAGTAGAGGTTGTCGAAGTTGATTGTAGGTCTGTACCAAGATACCCTTGTGTTGCAGTGTCTTACCTGACAACCTGTCGGTATTTTATACCATTTTAATGTTCAATCTGTCAGACACTGCGACACAAGGGTATCTCGGTACAGACCTGAAATCAACTTCGACAACCTCTACTAGTGACAACGGCTGGATTTGAGAGGGACCTGACCTCCCAAAGCGACCAACATCTCACCTCCTGGCGCTATATAAGGCTCCATTCTGTCCTTTCAACTTCATATTGCTTGTTAGGTAAGACACATATGCAACAGTTAGGTATCTTTATTTCGAAACGTTTCGCCTACACAGTAGGCTTCTTCAGTCGAGTACAGATAAAGATACCTAACTGTTGCATATGTGTCTTACCTAACAACCTGTCGGTATTTTATACCATTTTAATGTTCAATCTGTCTGACACTGCAACACAAGGGTATCTTGGTACAGACCTACAATCAACTTCGACAACCTCTACTAGTGAGAACGGCTGGATTTGAGAGGGACCTGACCTCCCAACATCTGAGTTCTTACCTCTCCTAGTGACCTACGTCTCACCTCCTGGCGCTATATAAGGCTCCATTCTGTCCTTTCAACTTCATATTGCTTCAGACTTTGGAACAATGCTCTTCTCCAGACTGAGGGACTGACCACCTCAAATCTTTAAGGGTGATGGACTGATTACATCGTCTT